TCAATTAATTGCAGTCATTTTAATTTTCCATTTTTAAAGCCTTGGTAAATAAAATAAGGGCACTAAAGTAAGAAAATATTCAAATAAATACTTAAACACTTCTATAGAGAGATGGTAACACACCAACTCAGTACTGTTGACTTTTTGGCTATCAGCTAATTACATGAAAGGTCAAAGCTGGGATATAAAAGGAGATTTAAAGAGTTACAGCATCATGAAAGCACGTCTAGGATTTTCGTAATCCAGACTTTATAGATGGTAAGGACTGCCTTTGTTAGCAAATTCTTCATCATGGGAATTAAGAGGCAAATCCTGCTTTTCTAAGCAAAGTGTTGTTGAAAAATAGCATTCAAACGCTGCCTACACTTGCTTTGGGTTAAAATAGCAGATATCCATATGCCTTGCAAAGAGAAAAATATTTAATTCTGGCGCTCAAGGAAAAGTTTTCACTGACTGCTGATGTAGGTAGGGCATGACTGAGTTCATTCTGTATTCACTGAGTTTTCTCTTTTTTGAAAGTATACCTTTATTTGTAACTCTCAATCTATTATTATTTATCTATCAATCGATCGATCGATCTATCTCTACAGTTATTATACAAAACAAAATATGAAAAGGGCCAGGTGTGGTGGTGCACACCTGTAATCCCAGATGCTCAGAAGACTGAGGCAGGAGAAGCTCAAACCAGCCTCAGAAACTTAGCGAGTAAAAATAAAAAAAACATAAAAAATAAAAATACAGGCTGAGGATGTGGCTCCATGGTTAAGCACCCCTCAGTTCAATCTCTGGTACCAAAAAAAAAAAAAAAGACTTAGTGATAGTTTATATCTGCTACTAGTTAACTTAATATGCTTTAGTACCCTTCACCCAAAATGTAATGATTTACTCAATATTTATCTTAAAGATCCAAAAAATAGTTATAAGAAAACAGTTATATAGAAAATGCTATGCATCCCTAACAAAGAACCTAAGTAAAGTTACCCAGGCAATGATCTCTTTTGTTGTTTCCTGAAGAAAAACTTCAAAGCTTTTTTATTAATAATTCTCCAAGGGATGATTTCCAAGTGCTTTAATGAAGTGTTTTGTATTGTTTACAAGTCCTGAAAGAAAACAGCACTATGGCATCTCAGTCAGAGTCCATCTAACTGTGGGGCTGGGAGGGAAGACAAGCAGGGCCAGATTCTTTCTAGAATCTGAATAAAAGTAATGGGACAGCAGCTGAGAAAAGTATTTCAGAGAAGAGTTTTGTCCAGGCTGGGGATTCCACCTCACAAAGAAAACTGTTGTGTAAGTACTTTTGAAGGACTTTCTATTCTTACATTAGCAATTCATTTTCTTATATTTTGTTATTTATTAATTTTGTATCACAATTTATGTACTAATCTGGAATACTCCATAAACTGAATTTTTCATTTAGCTTACTAGATGACATATGTCCTCATGTAGGTTTTGCAAGAAAGCTTGTGGATGACATTTTCTGAGCTCCTGCATATTTAAGTATGTCATTTCCATTGCCTTCATTCATAAAAAATTCATAACCTGACCCTAAATAATAATGTGGGGTCACAGCCTTTTCCTCTCAGAAATCATTAGACATTATTCCATTGGCTTCTGCCATTTGGTTCTGCAGAGAAGTACAAGGTTAGTCCGATCTGGGCAGTAAAGGAAAAAAGGCACCCCTGTGGACACAGATACCCAGCCATTGCTTTCCTTTTGCACACACTACTCTCTCCTAAGAATATTTAAAATTATTTAGCAGTTTCCCGCTTCTGCACTGCACATCAAACATCTCTTTCATCCTTTTGAGCTTTTTTCACCTTTGTTTAACATTTAGGGAGAGTTTATCATATTTGTCTTCCACATTACTGAGATGATTTCTTAGTGTCAAATCTTCTCTGCTGGCTCTGTGGATTTAATTTGGCTGCTGCACTTTAAAATTTCATTACTTGCTCTATTATCACTTTCTTCTTGTCCTTTTCCCTATCAATGGTTCTTTTCCTGTGGGTTTCTGATTCTGTTTCATAATAATCATATCTTCTGACATTCTACTCAGATAGCTAGTCAACTTTTGTACTTTTTTTTATTTCCCTTTGAGTCTCGAGGGTGATTTCTTTTTTCTCCTCTTTCCTTTGTAATGTTCTTAAAGGTTCAGTATTGAATTTATTAACACTTTCTAGTGATAGAAGAGGTATCAAATAAAGCAAAAGTGATATAGAACAGGCTGGTCATCGCTGTCTCTAGGCAGTATTAAGAATCGAACAGGTTTTTATGTCATTTGGTTTCCTGAAATTGAAATCTGACTTTCTCTGAATAATCCCAGTTACTAGTTTTATCTCTGGCCATGGAACCTTGTATTTAGAGGCAATGATCCTTGTTCTCCACCAAAACTGCCCACCAGCTTTCTCCGTGTGTCAGTGAATATTTTGCTATGAATGCATATGAAAAGAAGAAAAAAAAATAACAAGAGAACAGAGTAGGGGAACAACACTTGCATGTTAAAAGAAAAAAATGAACAACAGAAATAACAAAGGGCTTTCCATATTCTCTGCTCATTATTTCTCCTGAGGATTTTCTAATAGCGAGTGGACTGAGAGACACTGATGGGAGTGGAATAGAAGAGGGGTTGGAGATATCATAGTGGTTAACTCAGAGGTAGGAAATGTGCCCCAGAAGGCCAGCTGCTCATTCTCTGAGATGTTTCCAAACGAATGATCAGAGAGACATTGGGACATAGTGTAGGTTTTTCTCTGTATCTTCTCTTTTACTAGCTTGTTAAAGTTTTAAATTAAATAGCATCAACCAAGATTTTTCAACCCTATAATATCAGCCTAAAATTGATTGTTATATAAAATTTCCTATGTATTGTGTCCGTAGATTTCAGTATTTTTTGAAGTGCCATAATTTTCCATTTTCTGAGCCTTTGTGAGTGTTTTAGTGGAAATCTGGGACTGGCTAAACTAGGTGCGGCTATTCAGGTACCATATATAGAGTAAGGTATAGTCACAACTTAAATCTATCTCATCTCACAAATCCTTTTCCTTGTCTCTCAGCTGATCAAAGGTGCTAGGTCCTGCCTGGCACCCGAGATTCATGCTTGTCTTCTGAGGGTCCTTTCTCATCCTCTAATCCTGTGAGAACTTGCTGCCTCCAACCTTTTAGTGAAAAATGGTGGTCCTTGAAGGGCTTTAGCATGGGTGGTTCTTGGTGTTTAATGGTCCGAACACAACCATGTTGAGGAGGATGACTCTCTTAGGACCTCAAAGGCCCAATCTCTGTGTTGCTGTTTACTGTGTAAGCCTCCTTCTCTCTCCTGGGATCTGTCCTTGCTCTCTGCCTATTCATGCCACTGCTCCAGGCAAGGGTGACACTGAAGGCCCATTTCAGAACACTTTGGCTCACATTAAAGCTTGCACTTGCAGCTGGCTCTTCTGTAGCCCATCAGTTCCTGGTCGGGCTGCAGCCTCTCTGGACCTGAGTCTGATTGGTCTGATACCTGCTGCCTGATTTCTGGGGCCTGATTTTCCTCACTCTGCTGTCTCCCTCTTTCCTTTTCATGCTTTATTGCCCTAGATCCAGAAGTCCTTCTAATCCAGTTTCCTGCCTGATTTCTCCTAAAATTCAGTTTCTGCTCTCTTTTTTGCCTTTGGTATATAGTATTTATGCAGTTATAGGAACCCTAACCAAATTTGTCAGTACCTGGCAGATCTGACTTGCCCTGTCTCTGTTCTCTTGATGGCATGGGTCAACAGGAATCCCTGGGGACTTTATGTCTACAGAAGGCATATAATACCATTAAATCCTATATTTCAGCAATTTCAGACTACTAACCATTAAAACAAATGCAAATTATCTCAGATTTAGGGCCTTAAAGGAATTCAGTGTAATGTAACACAGTATTAAACATTTTAAAAGTCAGGACAGGTTTGTTTAAAAGACAAAGAAACAAATTATTTAATTAGTCATGATTCAGAGACAGTCTAATCAACCAATAAGCTCTTAAATTCTTCTGCCATTTTTACTATAGCTACTGACTTAACTCTGTGGTGCAATACTGCCCACTTGCATAGCAAATTTTATCCATTATCTTAAATGATTTTTCAGACCAACAAATATCTTAAAGCCTTGCTACAAATGAGTGGTCCAAGGAGGTGGTCTACTCTTCTTTAATTCAAGTTGGAATTTAAGAAACAGTTATCGTAAGTAGATGAGTTAAAGATGTAAGAATTATTTTACAAGTCAAAGCTCAAGTTATTGATTAGATACCAAGCTGTCCACAAGATGTACAGCTTATTCAAGCCACAAAAGAAAATCACATTTGTAATTTTAAATTTTCTATTTGATATATTTAAAAAGTAAAAAATTAAAAGTCAGTTAAGATTAAATATAATAAATTTAAATTAACCCCAATATAACCGCAATGTTAACATTTCATTATTAAATTACTTGTGTGTGTGTGTGTGTGTGTGTGTGTGTGTGTAGTGAGTGCACTAAGAATATGAGGTTTCATGTGTATTATAAACCTACAGAACATTCCAACTGGGAAGCATATTTTAAATGATCAATAGCCGATAGGGCCAAGATATTTTAATATTTAGCATAGCAGACAGTGAAGGTCTAAATATGTATGTTATCATCACACTTTATGAAAAAAATGTTCTAGAAAAAGAGTAGGTAAAAATTAGTGATAAGTATATGAGTTACTACATATGTTAATTTAGGTCAATTAGCTATAAAAACCTGTTATATTCTGAATACTGCCTAGGGACAATGATGACCAGCCTCTTCTATATCACTTTTCCTTTAATCAATACCTTTTCTATAAGGTAAGGGCCAAACTATATCATTATATTGTATGCATGTATATCACAATATGTATATTTCAAGACAAGTTGGAGATGATAAACATACATAATTTATAAATTTGTTAATTCAAAAAAATTTAAAAATGGATGTGAAGAAATAAGTAATGTAAGAGGCAATGATAAATGGTTTTCTCTTACCTACACAGATCTTCTTTTATGTGGAGGGAAATCAGTTCCTTGGGAATATGAAAAGAAAGTATGCTCTCTGACATCTGCTCCCGGATCCGCATCCACTTATTGTCAGACGTGGGAAATCTATATAATTTACACACTGGATTCTTGAACACTGGGAAGAAAAAAGAAAAAGGTAATTGATAAATTACAAACAAATGCATATCAGATGAAGCAAAATTAATGTTAATCAGGGTAACATTCTATTTATTGGCTCAAAAATGTATCAGAATTCATTAGTGTATTTGAATTTCTAAGGATTTTATTTTTATAAAACTTTTTAATGAAGCTTCTAAAACATAGTCTTTGTTAGCTAACAAATATATAAATAAATATTCAACAGAGTTAACAATTAGAACGCAACTTAAAACGATAATGAGATTTCATCTAACTTAGGTTAGAATGGCAGCCATTAAGAATACAAACAAATCCAGAGAGGATATGAGGAACAAGGAACGTCTCTACACTGTAGATTGGATGGTAAACTAATACAACCACTATAGAAATCAGTATGGAGGTACCTAAGGAGACTAGGGATGAAACCGCCATTGACCTAGCTATACCACTTCTCGCTTTTTATCATAAAGAATTATGTCATCATATTATAGTGACACATGCATACCCATGTTTATAGTAGTACAATTCACAACAGCCAAACTGTGGAACCAGCCAAAGTGTCTATCAACAGATAAATGAGTAAGGAATATGATATACATAACAATGGAGTTGTTATGGTTTGCATATTGGATACCCCCCAAAAGCTGATGTGTTAAGACAATGCAAGGAAGTTTAGAGGTAAAATAATCAGGTTTTGAGTCTTAACCTAATCAGTATATTAATCCTCGGATGGGGATTAACTGGGTGGTAACTGTAGGCAGACAGAGTGTGGCTGGAAGAGGTGGGTCATTGGCACATGCCTTTAGGATACGTATTTTGTCCTTGGTGAGAAGAGCTGTCTCTTTGCTTCCTGATTTCATGTCTGGAGCTCATTTCCTCCTCCACACCCTTCAGCCATGATGTTCTGCCTTGTCTTGGCCCCAGAGCCATGGAGTCAGCTGTCTGTGACCACTAAAACCGTGAGCATCAAATAAATGTTTCCTCCTATAAAATTGTTCTTGTCAGATCTCTTGGTTATAGCAGCAAAAATGGTGACTAACATGGGAGTTTTGATTCAGCCATCAAGAACAGTGAAATTATGTCATTTTCAGGAAAATGGATGGAAATTGAGAACAGTATGTGAAGGGGAATAAGCCAAACTCAGAAAGTCAAGGGCCATATCTTTTTTCACATACATGGAAGTTATAGAGTAGTGAGGTATCTCATGAAAATTGAAGAGAGATCGGTAGAGGAAAGGGACCAGAAGGAGGGAGGAAAGGACGAAAAGAAGAAACTAGAGAATGATACCCGCCAAATTATATTATTATATTGTATGCATGTACAAACATATAACAATGAGTTCCATTATATACAAATATAAAGCCCTAATAAAAATATGGAAAAAATTATATATATCCAACTCCAATTCATAAATGTGGCAAGTGTGGTTCTCTGATTTACTACCTATTGACTGCTTTCTCTTCTAATTTTTTTATAAAGCATTTGTGCCTGTAAATATACACGAAAATATAAGTACATACACATGACACACATTTTTTTTTTGCACTGCTTGGGATCAAAACCAGAGCCTCGTGCATACTAAATAAGTTCTTTACCACTTTAATATACACTTCAACAAACATATCTCTGAATTTCTTCTGACTACTCTTGGTCATCTTTATACACTTACTTAACAGGTGAAAACCGATAGGTTATTTCTCAAGTTTCAAAAAGCCCTACTAATAAAAAATCTTGTATGTCAGAAAGGTTCATTTCTTTGGTGGATGGTCTATCAAAATTCAAATATTATATGTATTTTAAAGTGCCAGTGAGTCTACACCACATTTTCCTGAAATCACAGATTGTCAGAAGCTAGTTAGGAGAGAATGGAGAAACTATCTAGGACAAGTGTACAATGACTAGAGGTGAAGAACAGGTCATACTACCAAAGATTTAAAAGGATTCAGGAAGAGTAGAGGCTCAGTGGGTAGGAGAAGACACAGTACATTTCATAAAACCAGAATTCACACACACTTCCAAGCCATATCTTTCGGGGCAGAATGTTTTTCCCATTGCTTTTGGGCAATGAATATATTTGTTACATACATACACTAAAGTTTAGTGGGCAATAAAACCTCAGATCAATCACTAATCAAGCATCTATTATTAGTTGGCTACAGTTTATCAAAAAAGTTGATTAAAATATAGTTGATATTGAAGTGGATGCTACACTTTAAAAAATATCAAGCATGGTGGCCCAGGACTCCTCAATATTTAGGCATAAACACCTTTCAAAATTTTAGGGCTCTGTAAGACAACCATATCTCATTCACTACTTCAATAAACATACAATATCTTTCTGAGCATTGAAATGAGAATCTGTTTATCCATTCTTCTGCAGCCATCCATTCTCAAAGGGATACTCTGAGCATTATCATTATCACAGTTGGCATCAATTACAGCAGAGACCTTGATGTCAAGCAACCCACTAGTCAACCCACAGATTCAAATCTCTGGTAAATTTTACATATCCCTGTCAAGAATGGGGCAGCAGCTTCACCTTTCAATGGGACCAAGAGAGGCCAGAAAACAGTAGAATATTTCCAGTGTGCTGAGAGAAAATATTTTAAAATCTAGAGCTGTGTGCCCAAAGAGATTATCCTTTGAATATATTCATGACCATTTAAGTTTTGTCAATTATATTCTATCAGAAATACATACAGAGCCTTCATTATATTTATTTCCTTTCATCTAAAATAGAAGAACTTGCTGTCAGTCAATAAAAGAAACTACATGGTTTCATTCATTTTTAAAGTAACAATGTTTCAGAGATGTAAGAATTTTACTACCGCTTCTGTTAACATATCTCTAGAGTTGAAATATGTATTGAATGCAATATAGTGTCAGTCAGGTTAAATCATATGGATGAGATCTCATGAATTCTAATATGTATCACACGGTTAGGAATATTAATGCTTCCTTTTATGGAAAAACAAAAACTTCAATCCCTGAAATATCCAAATTGTTGCATAACACATAAATATCCAATCAATATAGGTGCTGTGTCTTAATCTCTCTCTTTTTTTAATTACACAGAATCTTTATATCATCCAAAATACAGTCAAGTAGAATCATCAGACGTTTCTTGCCCTTTATAGGTAAATAATTATTTTTTTTAAAAAATTCACATTTTGAATTATGTGAGAAAGCAGAAAAATATTTCCTCTGTTAACCCCAAATGTATCACTTAACTTTTGACATGTTTTTTGGCTTTCCATTTTAATGGTTTTTTTTTTCTGTGTTCTAAAAAGAAACCTCTACTAAGTCACTTAAGCAGAAATCAAGAGCAGTTTGATTAATGAGTTTGGGGACGCTCCTTTGGACACCAGGCACACATCATCCAAAGACAACACGTGAATACTGTTATTTTTGAAGGAAATACCTGGGGCAAATGATCAAAAAGTCAGGCAGCTTAATCATGCCCCCTTCCTCAAAAATATTCTGCACAACTTTCCTTTCATAGATTCTGATTTTTAAGACTCGTGTCTTCAAACGTTGGCACTAAATTGTATACATTAACCAGTATCTAAATGCAGATATGGTGGGATCTACTTTGCAACTCAGATCCACCAGCATTCTTTCTTGAGCATTTGCTATGTCTGAGGCAAGGAGACCTAGTGTTTATCAGAAAATACTATATGATGGACATGATAATAAAAATGAGGAAGTATGATCTGACCTTAAACCTTGATGCAAGTTCATTGCACTAGTCACAAAAAGACCTGCTAAAATGTCTCAACTCAAAATTCTTGCTTTCATAGTGGGGTTAGTTATCATCACATTAAAATAATGGCATAGTTCTCATGCATCCAATATTAAACAATGGTTCATAAATGATAAATGCTTTGGCCAACTTTTTAAAATGCTTCTACCTTATATCAGAAATACGATTTCAGCAATTTTGCATACATGCTCCAACTGTTCATGGGAGTAAATGACTTTGTGAATGGCTTTCAGCTCTGATTCTCCATTGTGTCAAGTATTTTTTCATGTAGGAGCAGCTTTCTTGACCATATACTAGGCCAATAACAATTTCAATGTAGCAAGACAGCCCTGCATGTATTCTCCATCTCCAATTTTTACAGTGCTTTTTGCCAGAACAATTGTTAAAAACATTATGTGCCAGATTCTACCAAGAGAAAGATAGTTTAGGTATTTTGTACCATACCATGGTCTTATGCTGACTTAATGAGGGTTAAAGTTCCAAACTGGGCCAGATTTTAACTGTTCCCCTTTAGGGGGAATTTTAATCTGTTCCCCTTTAGGTTCACCTCTTGAGATGAACACAAGACAGTTTACTCCAAAATTGCAACCCCCAACTCAAACGTCTATATTATTTCTCCCAGAAATAACATTTAGCAAGGTAGCATGCCACCTGCCTTTCCTCAGGATTCAGCAGTTGTGAAAGCCAAGCTGTAGCAGTTCTGAATAATTCAAAATAAAGATGCCAAGGAAATGTTCAACAAAACCAACAGAGATAACACATAAAAAAGACTGCTGCTCAAGCAACCCCGGGCAGGAAAAATAAACCAGAGCTATCACAGGATGGTTTCTCTTTTCTGTTAACAAAGGACTGCTGGGGATACCAGTGGGTTGATTGGACAAGGAATTTTGGAAATACGATTCAGGGTCCAAGGGATCATCCAAAAGCTGGAACCCTTATTTCGTTGGGTTATCTTTTATATACTTCTCTGGGGAAAGCTCATCTGTGGTTATCTTCAAGCACTTTTTGCCTCCAGGATAAGGCAGAAGTTATATATTTAGATAGAATCTGACTTTATAGGCTTAGGGACTTAAAAAATCACTAGTTTAATGTACTGTGTACTCTTATAGAGGATCCACTCATTCTGTAGTTTTAATTATGCAGTTGTTTAATTGTTTAATTATTCAGCCTAATGTGCATACATTGCCTATTCTCCAAATGCTATATGACACTTATTCAGGGTAAGTCCTTGTAAT